CCAGAAACCCAGTTGCGTGGTGGAGTCGAGGTGCAGAAATCTAACGAAAATTATACTGTATTAAAGAGCGCATTTAAGAGTACTTTGATGAAACCTCGAGAGGACTATGTCGACATCTTTTTTCGACATCTGGAACAGTGTGCGATTGAATGGACACCGCGAGATTTCTATGCTCCATACACATCGCTCGTACAAGCTAGCGGCACTGGCAAGTCAAGACTATTACGAGAATTGGCAGTTGAAAAAGACGTCTTGGTGGTGTATATTTGTTTGCGTGATTCAATATCAAGGGGCTACCCAAAGCGCTCCATCATTGCTGATGTAATCACTGGAGAGGGTTTATTAGAATATCACTATCTTACCTTCTTATCGGCTTTGTTTGGTGTGTGTTCAGAATTCTTGGATCAACAACTTCGCGAAAATGCGGTAAAGACATGCGGCCATGTGTTTGACATTCTTATCAGTGACAAAAATGATGAAACGTTCGGCCTGCAAAACCGTTTTTGGAATGAGGTGATGGAGCAGATGAAATCGCAAGAGGCCTCGACTGATGTTGTAAAAAAGATGGCAGATCGCTATAAAGACCTTACAGTTACTTTGAACAAATTGAGCAACCCCTCTCCATTTAAGATGTTGTTAGCCTTTGACGAAGCTGGTGCATTGATTGACAGCAACAACACTTCTAATAACAAGGGTAATTTCTATCACTTACGGAAGGCACTACAGGCTATTCCACATGAAAGTGATTGCTGTTCTATGGCACTTTTCACAGACACTCTCTCAAAAGTTTCAAATTTCTCTCCTGCCAAACGCCACGACTCATCCAGCAGAGTCAGCCACCAAGGACGAAGACTGTATAAACCATTTTACCTTCTTGATGTATTTGACTGCCGCATGCAACAACCAGTAGATATTACAGTTTCATCATCAATAAATCAAATTCGCAATATGGGACGGCCTCTTTGGGCAGACATTGGTGGAGCAACTGTCATAGAATTTGCCATGGAGAAACTTCTTTGTGACGAGGAGAAAGCTGAGCACATATATGTGAATAGAGTCGGTCCTATAAGCATTAATACGATGACAGAAGCACTAGCAATTCTTGGCCCACGACTTTATTTGGAAATTTCAAGTCTTTCACAGCAAGCCACCAAGTTGGTTAGTAGTCATATGAGGATTTTACGTCATGTTGATGAGGAGCGGGAATCGCTTATCACTACATCTCCAAGTGAACCCATATTAGCCGAGGCTGCGAGTCATATCATGAATTATCCTGGAATATTTAAGCAAGTTTTGGATCACCTAGCTACCTCAATCAGAAGTCATGTTGTTGTAAATGCAGGTGATCAAGGTGAGCTTGTGGGGAGAATCTTGTGTCTGCTGGCAGTTGACAAGGCAATTCAATCAAAATATAAATGCTGGAACATGTACTTTCAGCCTATCACTGTGCAAGAATTTCTTGATGCACTGGTTGGTTCACAGGCCTTTGAAAAGCTCAAGTCAGTGCTTGATGAA